TGGGTTCAAAGCTAAAAACCTTAAAAGTTGAACCAATAGAGTTTAAATCATGTATCCGCCTCTGGGTGTTTGGGTAGTGGCGTTATTCCAATTTGTTGTTTCAAGCATACATCCATGATATAGAAAAGAAGACACAATATCATCGAGAAACAATAGGAAGAAACAAATCGTTGATTAGAGAACAGTTCCAGGCTTTCTGAACTATGTGGATTCATTTTTATGACAAATAATAACAGCCTTATGTTTGGCCTATTGCTTGGAAGTTGGAATCTCTATAGTTTCTGTCTAGTACATTTTGTCCATTTCTCCCTGTAAGAGTTATAGTATCATCCAATAACGTAAATTCGCGTGTTTTAAGTAAGTGCAAAATTCCAAAAATGTCATTTGATCATATGTTGCTTCCAAGTTACTAGTATTGATAACCCTCATCGAATCTCTATACATAATGCAGGTCACAGCAGCATTATTAATGTCGGAAGCGAAATGATGCATTGAGCTTCAGAAGCAATGCTCCCTTGCTCTATGTATAGGTGCGCTGCTAAACTTCTTATTCTTACACTGGCACATTCTTCCTTTTCTCTAAATCCTCGGACTTTCACTTGGTTGAATCTTAAATCCCTTGATCATATCATTTTTAGGTGTAAATTCCATCACTCGACGAACAACAAATGATCAACTTTTACATGAAAATTCTGTTGGTAGTATGTGGGCTTCTTCAAATTAAGGATTCACAACTCCCTCAGATCCATTCTGCTGATAGTACCCCCTCACAGGGGACGTAGTAACATAACTTGATGGCGCTTGCCCCCGTCTCGCCTCCATTACATAGCTCACATTGTGTGGGTTTTCCTCTCAGGCCCCTTGAACAACTTGACCATATTCTTACTCTTAGAGATTCATTCATTAATTTTGTTTATTCGGACACGAATCGTGCTCTCTTTTTGACTGCCATACTGATGTGTATAAACTGTAATTCTTATTTGTGAGTGAAGGGATGTTGAAGTGCTTACCATTAATTATTCTGTATGGCTTTTCTAGTCTCCGAAATTGGTGTATTTTTCAACTTCTGTATGACTGCTCTGGCTTGCTTCTGTGCAACATGTTAGGACAACTAAACATTAGCAAATGTAGATTATATCAACGAAGCTTGTTATGAGTACCCAATCTTGCCGCAAAAAAAGCTTGGTATTTATGTGGAGAAGAATAAGGGGGCGGACGCATCATCCACCGAGTTTAGGACCATGTGCCACCAACTCTTGGGGATTTCTCGGCTATCACGAGTTTAGGACCATGTGCCACCAACTCTTGGGGATTTCTCGGCTATCAAAAGAAGGATTATATCGATGAAACTTTTGCACTTGTTTTACACGTTCAATTGACCTTAGTTCAAATTAATTAAATTTTACATTCATTGTAGTTTAACTAGATATAGCAAGTTATCTGAAGATTTTTCTAAGTAACTCATGTTCAAGATTTACAATTACTTGTAGTTGGCTTTACATAACCTAATGCTCATTCAAAAGTTAAAAGGAATTTTTACCTCCTATAGCAAAGGTTAACACCTTATTTATTTTAAATAAATACCATTTCAAAAAATTATATTCTATAGATACCTTTTAATGTTTATAGCAAAATATCTAACTTTGGTTACCTTCTACCCCTAAGCCACTAAATACGCTATTCAGTTACACTATTTTCTTTCTCTCTCTACTTTGATACATGCCATTCTCTTCCCCCATTCCCTGAAAACACGATGCTCAATCTCAAAATTTCTCTCACCCACATCACCTACCATTAGTCATAAACGGTGATTTTGCCTGGTATACCACGAAGACTTCTCTGAAATTCAAAGGAAAGACTAACTAGGTACTCAACCATGAAACCGACGTTGTAGACCCACGTTCCCCAAATTCTCATAATTAATCCAATCGTAAAAAGCCGTAGCCCCACTATTCTCGCCTCCACGTCTTCACCCACATACAAATTAGGGTTTGTTCTTGAACAAAGACGACAGAGTTTGGGGCTAAGCAACTTGATTTTCTGTTAATATATTTTAATGTATTTTCAACGTATCACACTGTATTTTCATGTATTTCATTGTATTCATTGTCTTTTTTTCCATTGTAATTCAATGTATCTCGCTGTATTCCATGTATTTCATTGTATTCACTGTCTTTTTTTTTACTTTGTATTTTCAATGTATCCCGCTGTATTCTATGTATTTCATTGTATTCATTGTCTTATTTTTCATTATAATTCAATGTATCTCACTGTATTCCATGTATTTCATTGTATTCACTGTCTTTTTTTTCATTGTATTTCCAATGTATCCCGCTGTATTCTATGTATTTCATTGTATTCACTGTCTCGCTATATGCCATGAATGTATTCATTTTTTTTAATAATATAATTTATGTATTCAGTATGTATTATATAATTTCTCTGTAAGATTGCTATGTTTTTTGGGGTATTTTTCGGTTTGAGTAATATTTTTTATAACTTGGAAATTACAAAATTCGTGTAGTTATAATTGAGTTTGTTGAGTTTATATTAGGAGTTCTATTATGTT